GTTTGCCAGGTTCTTAGCTCCCAAGAGACAGGAAGAGAGAAAGTAATAGTAAATGTAGAGGTGAGGAGACGATTAAAAATGTCCAAGGAGGGTTTTCTAATGATATCTGTACCAAATTTTGATACATTTCCAGTTCTTTCATCGCTTCTTAGCGAGCAAACATTGCCTTTCATCTAACCCTTTCTATCAAAGAAATCAGATATAATTGTTTGTCTGAGGACTGCAGGACGGGGCAATCATCTCAATACCTAACCTTCGTTCGAGCACATTAAGACATACGTTCTTTGTTTCCAATGATCTAGCCAGTATGCCAGCTCTTTGAGACCATTTGCTAAAGACATTCCTTCGTATTTCTGTTCAAGCTGAAAACTCACATTAAGACCTTTTTTATCTTCACATATACTTACACTGCAGATACAATCGCATCACCCACTTCGTTAGTCCCAGCCTTGCCACCCAAATCAGGCGTCCGCAGTCCTGAATCTAACACTTTCCGCACAGCGTCTTCCACACGTTGAGCCTCTGCTTCCATGCTCAGCGAGTAACGGAACATAAGCGCAACACAGAGGATCATCGCGACAGGGTTGGCGATGTTTTGCCCGGCAATACTAACAATATTAGAAGTCACTCAATATGCCTCGCCTTTGATATACACTTACGTCGGAGCAGACCCATGTGTAGGCTCATATAGTCCATATGGTCTCGTCTTTAGTGTCTTATCGCCAGGAAGACCATTAAGACTAGCACTCGGCAACACACCAAGGGTGCCGACAATCGACCCAGCTTGGTCGGAAATCATATCACCAAAGGTATTATCTGCCAGAATAACACCATTCAGAGATCGCGGGTTCGTCGCCAGGATCAATGATGCCGAGTCGGCAAGCTGGTGCACCAGCTTGACTTGCGGGTACTCGGCAGTCATAGTTTTGTCCACTACGCGGCGCCAGAGCCGCGACGAGGCTAGCACATTCGCCTTGTCGAGAGAAATCACTGGCCAGGGGGGATTGTGTCGCAGCGCCACTTCGGCCGATAGACGGGTTACACGCTGGATCTCGGCTTCAGAGTATCCCCATTCGTCCATTGCTATATCAGAACATCAGCAAGATCGTATACATGTTAAAAAGCAATCAATTCAACTCACCGTATGTCTCCTCTTCAATCTTACGACCAAAATAAGCTCCACCACAATTCTCACGCACAACTACAAAATCAACCCCTTCAATCACATCCTGTCGAAACGGACTAAACTCCTTAGCGATAGAGGAACTCGGCGAGGTAGATGAGCACGGGCGCAGGTTCGCATAGATATCCATTGCTTTCCGTAGCTGCAGCAGACCTCCTTCAGGACCATCGAGTCCACGTCGCGCATTGTCCCATTTTGGTCCGCCTACTGCGGCAAATAGGACTGCGTCTGAGTTTAGTGCTGCTTGCTTGACATCGTCTGTTACCGGTTTGCCGTGGGCGTCTATGCTGCAGCCTCCTATCAGTTCCTGGCGTAGTTCGAACTTGCGTTGCGGTGTTTCGAAAGCTTTGAGGACCTTTACGGCTTCGGTCATTACTTCTGGGCCGATGCCATCGCCGGGTAGAATGAGGATTTTGAATGTTTGGGTCATTATTTTGGTGTTTCTGTTGTTCTTGGGGTATGCTTTGGTTGGGTTGGATCTGATAATTCCTCTTCTTTGACCCCGGGCGTCATACAGCCTATAACTTATCAGAGCTCGGTTTTCATCCGACTGGTGCGGGGTTGGGGTTGGTCGGGCTTTCGCCGATGTCATGGCAGTGCGGAAGACTGTCCGGTTTAGACTATGTATTTCTAGTTAATAATGTTCATTCTAGATGTCAATTGTTTAGTAACGAGGGAAAGGGGGGATGAAAGTTGGCTTGACAACACCGTTCAGCACTGATATTGTCTTATTAGGGCGGTGTTAGGCTGTAAGCCTCGAAGCGAGTATACCATCTCATAAAATGTTTTTGCCGTATTTTTACCTCGCATTTCTCACCCCTTTGCCCATTGTTGATTGCCTCGCATTATAGTTAAACATGGGGGTCTATCATGTTGTATACAAGTGGGGCTATAATATTAGCCTCAGGCATAATATTTACCTAAAGGGGGCTAGTGGTATCACGTGACACATACAGACTGGGCCCAATCCGGTGTTAGGGCTAGGGCTCAACGGCATCCCCTCCGGTTTGCACTGTTTGCTCTGCGGGCATCATATCATTTCTAAGCTTTTGAAGATCTCCAATCTCCAAAAGTCCAATTTGCTTGTAGCACCACTTCACGATGTCGCGAGTCGAAGAGCTTCCGGATGACTTTGACGAGTCGCTCAACCTCAACGATGTTCCTCCCGAGGTAAACCAGGGCCTTCCCCAACCCGGCTTCGATGCCTTCGCACCCGGCAACGATCTTCCCTTCCCGATCAATGAGGAGGGTCTAAAGGCGCGTCAATCTGATCCCAATGCGCCTGATCTACCACCGGCTATTGCAGCCGTTCAATCGCATTCCAAGGAGGAGCTTTTCAAAATGATGAACCAGACTCCCCTATTCATGACCGATATTGAGAATGCGGGTGACGAGAGTATGTCTTTTTTGGCAGTTGAATACGATCGTTGAACTGAGCTGACAGCTGGTTTCTATAGATGGCGAAAACGTACTCTTGGACGCTCTGCAGGCTATGCAGAACGAAGGTACCAAGGCTGAGGTCGCGCAAACCTTCAAGGAACAGGGTAACGAAGCCGTATCGGAGCTTCGATGGATTGATGCCAAGGAGTTCTATACCAAGAGTATTGCTGTCATCTATGCCAAGGTCGACAAGTGGGAAAAGCCTGAGGACCCCAAGGCCGATGCGGCATTGTTGCGCAAGCTGGAAGAGGTGTCGCACATCAACCGAGCCCTGTGCAACCTGGAACTAGGTATATACAATTTTTTTCGATTGTTGACGAGCTTTGCTAATGTTCAAATGCTTCAGGAAACTACCGCGCCTGTACCCTCGACTGTGCTGCCGCCCTCAAGGTGAACCCCAAGAACGTAAAAGCCTTCTACCGCTCATCCATGGCCCTGTTCAAGCTCGACAAGATCGCCGAAGCTGAGGATGCCGCAAACCGTGGTCTGGCCATTGACCCAGAAAACAAGTCCCTTAAAACCGTCTCCCAAAAGATTGCCGAGCGCAAGGCCGCGGTGGAGCGTGCAGCCGCCAGGAAGAAGGCAGAGGAAGAAAGGCTGCGCAAGCAGAACATGGTTCTAAGCACCGCTCTGCGCGCCCGCCAAATCAGAACCCGCAAGACCGAACAGCCCCCCGATATGGAAGATGCCAAGATCAGACTCGTTCCCGATCCTCTGTCGCCGGAGAGCACTGTCGAGTTCCCAGCTGTTTTCTTGTACCCAATCGAGGCACAATCTGACTTTATCAAGTCGTTCTCTGAGATGAACTCCATTACGGATCACCTGGAGTACATTTTCCCTCTGCCTTGGGATACCAAGAAGGAATACAACATCAACAATGTTGAATGCTTCATGCAAACCGTCTCTGGTGGTTTGATCAAGGCCGGCAAGAAGCTGCCTTTGCTGCAGATCCTCTCTGGTGGCAAGGTCGAGGTTGTGGATGAGCTTGTCAGCATCTTCATTGTGCCTCTCTCGAAGACTGGCAAATTCATTGCAGAGATGAAAGCTCGTAAGACGGGCTGAACTGGACGCTTCATTATACAAGATGATATATCTCCCGTCGCCTAGCTCTTGATCGCCGCTGGCTTTCAGTGGAAGTCCAGATGCAGACCAACTATCATACCTCTGGCGGAAGTTAAGATTTCTGCCCAGGGACTGGATTTGGTTTTCTTCAACAGCGGCACTCTCGCCACCCCTACCGTTTGGTTTTGGCTTTACCTCAAGCAATTCCACGATAAATTAGCTGATACCCTCCAAGATGTCTGTTCATGTACATATTTGCACCTTTGGCTTTACATAGATATGGCTCAATTATAGAGGCAGCGCCCTCCGGAAGCATGTCGCACTGTTCCTATCCCACGTTGACTTATCAAGCCTTGGTTCGTATTGATCGTAGCCGTCACACTCGAGATTTGAGAGTTCCTATGCAGGCTCATCTCATGGGCGCTAATATAGGCTCAATCAAGTGAGGGGATACGTAGTCTAGCCTTGGCATTATAGTGCTAGTTTACCCTGAAATAAATATTATGCTAATCTCGGCAATAAACACAAAAGAATACCCCAGATACGTTTGAGTTCTTAGGAAGGCAAGACACATTTACCCGTGCATTTAGCCCTATCCTTCAACTTCACCTGATTGGGATTAAGCCTCTTCAAGGGTTCCCCATTTTCTCTTTTGCCGTGAAGAAAATACGGCGTCCCCTCCGGGTGTTCTGCATATGTGGAGCTCCGCTCCGTGGCTATTACTCTACCACTCTGGCTAACTACCTACCTTCATGCATGAGATCATATTATCCCAAGTCCCGAAGCATGATCCGAGCTAAAAGACCCCTTTCGACTAGTTTGAATGGCCGCGACAACTACGCCACGGGCTGTCGGCCCGAATGGCTGTAGCGACCAATGTGAAGCTGCCTAGCGCCGGGGCAGATGCTGAAAAATATCCAAATTAGGGCCCTGGCAATTTGACATCGCGCTTTGTTTTGAACTATATAAGGAGCTTGGGCGGTATCTTTCTCTTTGAAGAATTAAAGCTTGTGGTGAGACTAAATATCGGCGAGCTTTAATTCCTTCGTCACTATGGTTCATTTGTCTGCTATTGCCCTGGCATTGGCTGGTGTTTTGCCTCAGTTGTATGAATATCACCGATTAGTTCAACAAGGCTATATACTAATACTGATATCTTGGTAGAACACAAGCAGCTGGCTTGAACACTGCTGCCGTTGCCAAAGGACTGCTATACTTCGGATCAGCGACTGACAACCCTGAGTTGACCGATAGCGCATATTTGACTCAGTTGAGCAACAGAGATGACTTTGGTCAGATTACCCCTGGCAACTCTCAAAAGGTTTGCATATTGCTCGTTTGGTTGGCTGGAACCTGCTAACAATTGAATTGATAGTGGGATGCGACTGAGCCAACGCAGAACACCTTCTCGTTCACCAAGGGCGATGTCATTGCAGACCTTGCTTCTACCAATGGCCAGAAGCTCCGATGCCATAACTTGGTCTGGCATAGTCAACTGCCCAGCTGGGGTAATTCTCGCTGTCCTCACATAGCTCATTATATTGGAACGTGATCTGACAGATGAATAGTCTCAAGCGGCACTTGGACCAACGCAACACTGATTGCGGCTATGAAGAACCACATCACCAACGTTGTAACTCACTACAAGGGGAAGTGTTATGCCTGGGATGTCGTCAATGAAGGTGAGTGCCCAGCTGAACCATTCGGTGTCGTTCTATACTAATGGATCGAAACAGCCCTCAACGAGGACGGCAGCTACCGCAGCAGTATCTTCTACACAACTATTGGCGAAGCCTACCTCCCCATCGCGTTCGCAGCTGCCGCCGCCGCCGACCCATCCGTCAAGCTCTACTACAACGACTACAACATCGAATCCCCCGGTTCCAAGTCAACAGGCGCTCAGAAGATTGTCAAGCTTGTTCAGTCATATGGTGCCAAAATTGATGGTGTTGGTCTGCAGGCTCATTTCATCGTTGGAAGTACCCCTAGCAAGAGCGCGCAGACTACCAACTTGGCTGCATTCACGGCTCTTGGTGTCGAGGTTGCCTATACCGAGCTTGACATTCGTATGACCTTGCCTTCAACTGCTGCCTTGCTTGCTCAGCAGTCGACTGACTATCAGGACACTGTTGCCGCTTGTGTGGCTAATGCCAAGTGTGTTGGTGTTACTATCTGGGACTACACTGACAAGTACTCCTGGGTGCCTAGCACCTTTTCGGGTCAGGGTGCTGCCTGTCCTTGGGATGATAATTTGGTTAAGAAGCCTGCTTATACTGGTATCTTGAATGCTCTTGGGGGTTCGGGTTCTTCGACTACCACTGCCACTACTCTCGCCACTACGACTAAGGCTACTACTACCACTACTGCTAGCTCAGGTAGCAGTACTGGCGTTGCTCACTGGGGACAGTGTGGTGGCTCGGGATGGACCGGAGGTACTACTTGTGCTAGTGGGTATACTTGCACCTACTCCAATGCCTGGTACTCGCAGTGTCTGTAGATATACCAAGTTGGAAGGGTCCACCAGGCAGGCCTGTGTATCTATCTCTGTCTATTTCGAGACTACTGTATAGGTTGATACTCAATATCAATCGAGCAAAATAAATATATCATTCAATTCAACACTTTCAACTGCTTCGTAAGGGGGAAGACATGAACTGTATGAATAGCCTTGCCTTAACCAAAAGCAAAAGAAGAAAAAAAAGCTCTAGCCCTCTTACAATGGTTCATGCAAGCACCAGATTCCATGCCTGCTGTAATGGCACAGTACCGAGCGGTAGAAGAATGCTGTCACGCCGGGTTAGGACACTAGGCATCATATGATAGAATCATATAATATGATCTAGAAATATGACTTAAAGATCATGTTCTCTAGACCCAAACTCCGCAGCTCGCTGTGCAGCCACGTCTACATCCGGCTCTGGTGGGAAGCCCTGCAATGAGACGCATTTCCGTTGAACCAGCGGGGTGAGGGTTAGCTCTTTTACTACCATTTGGGGGTGTAACCGAGGCTTTTTCAAATTTGGCCTTGTTTTTCAAGCTCAACTCTTTTTATCTTCTCTCTTCATTTTAGACTTGTTCTTATTCCTGTCCCTTCTGAAGGGTTGTCTGTGTCCTCTTCTCGAAGCCAGTTGGGTCGTCTCATATTCCGTTACAATGACCTCAACGGGTAGGGGTATTCCTTTGAACGCCAACAAAATATTCATTATCATCAAAAGACATTATATGTACTGGACTCATCCGAGGGTCATCATTGATCAAAATAATATGGATAACCATATAGCATCATCTGCTCCGTAGACGGTCCCGCCGCCGACTGAGTTATTGGGATAGGCTGTGATATTGGCACAGACGGTGTGATCGAAGCACCTACAGCAGACATGGCAAGAGGATCTTCGTAAATACCCATGGGAAACGGTTGGGTACTGACGTTTCCAGGATACTGATATGGTGTAGGGCCCATTTGACGTGTCCGATCAACCAAGTTTGTCCCAGCGGACTCTTCGCGTTTTCTTTTCAACTCAAGTGGCGATGTCGACCCACGGGCAACCTGCTCAACTGGCATATATTGCGTGTGGGGGCTTATGTGCATTGGCGGGTTATATAGGTTGGGAGGGTATGGGGAAGCGTTCGTTCGGGGATCATCGAATGGGATGAGAAGTTGTGAGGTATCGATGGCTAGTGCTTCGTCACTGCACTCTGACTTGGTTGTGGTTTGAGTATGGTCTGGCTCGGTCGGTGAGCTTTGTTCGCTGGAAGTGTCTCCTGTATTGTCAGGGAGGTTGGCACGAGAAATCCACACGGGTTCTTCTCCATCTGTAGAGGGTGAGTTTTGGTGCTTTGAAGCTGTGAAGTGCATACTAGCTTACTTGTGACTCCATTCTCGAAATTCTCTTCCGCCTCGCGAACTTGGTATGCCTCGTCTAGGATTTCTAGACGATCGACCGGAAGAATCTGACGTCGAATAGGCTGGTCACATTCTTTCAGTCTAGTCGTTGTAACTCCGTGGCTTCCATGCAGCTCACACAGAATGTGCACTAAAAGTCGAATGCGCTCTGTACACTGTTAGCCCTGGGTGAGGGCTTTGGAATGAGTAGTATCTTACCAACTTTGGGAAGATGATCTGGCTCCCGGTGGCTCACCCCAGATGGCCACCATGGAGGCTTTGTTGCCTCTGGACTGAGCTGTTGGGTTCTCCCTGCAATGATCTTCCGTCCATTATAGGGGTAGTTGACCTGCTTGCGTGGCTCAACTAGTTTGACGTAGGCTTTTGCAAGAACACGGCAGTTGGTTTGTTGCAGATTCTGGAAAACCCTCTCATAGTACTGACGTAGTAGGTCTCGGTCTTTTATAAAAATAGACACTTTCTGGTGAGAGGTCAAGTTGAGATTTTGGCCTCCGAAATTTCTCTTCCTGGGCCGTGAGCTTCGCCAGTGAGGCAAGGACTCGGGGTTTGACCACATTTCGGGCTGGACCGGTTGGATGTGGGGGCTGGGTCCGGTTTGCTGCATACTCTGCTTTATATTCATTTCATTATGGTTGGCAATTTGTCTCTGTGATGGGGGGCTGTGGCCGTTATATTCTGTCGTTTGGTTGGCCAATGTTGCATGGGGCACCGTTGGGAGTTAATCAAACACCCCGTGCAGGGAGAGAACGGACTCACGTTGACTCGGGGCTGTTTGCGACTCTCTCGAAATTGCCACTGCCCTGAGGAATTCATCTCTCACTCTGGGTGTGAAGATTCTCTCGCGGTGCTCAGCGATTGACTCGGATGATCTTTGACAAAGATTGCCATTTCGATCAACATAGATCAGAGCAAAATGAGGGTACCCCAGCTCTTCCTGTGGTTGTCTCGACATTGCTTCTGGGGTCTGGACAGGGTCAGCTCTATCAGATAAATCACAGATTGGGAGTGCAGTACCCAAGAGTTTGCGCTCAATGGCTGTTCCCGGGATTTCCACCCTGTCTGGCTATTTGTCTGAAAGGATTAGCTTCAGCTGCATGGCGGGGTAGAACACAAAAGGATTTCCTACAGGCATAAAATATGTATGAGGAAGAGCGAGAACCATGCTGTACTAGACGCCCAAAAGCAACCTCACCCACTCACCGTTAATCAGAGTGCCAAGTTGATGGGCAAGAGGATAGTGATTTATTATACACAGCCACTAGACTTGTCAGCTGTGGCGCATACCTATAGCGCACCAGACTTTGGAAAGAGACTCAGCTCCAGGCAGGGGCGATAAAAGGCCGGTGGGGACGCACAAAGTACGGATCTACAAATTTCGGTGTAGATACAGTATCGAAACATGGGTAAGGTCCTGTGGGAGCGCACTTACATGTTGAGTAGATTTGGAATTCAATCCTTCTCCTCGTCATTTGCCCTGTGGCCCATCGGAAAATCCCCGAGTATCACGATCAGAACATGACGTGCTAAAGACTAGTTGCATCTCAATGCTAGCCCAGTTTGATGTCTACATATTATTAGAACTACCCAAAGGTACTGCGCCTTGGTTGTTAACTGCAATATTTCCCTTGGAGAATCTGGGTCTCTAGGGCTGACTGTTGCAATGCCGTTTCAGCATAGCAATACTGGCACTTAAATGGCTACAGACCATGGTGAGTGGTTCTATGGATCGAGTGAAACACGGTAACAGGTGTTGGCCGATCTTACGCTCAACGGTTACGGACATGTTTTCCGTTACAGAGAATCCCATAATCGGACAAAAGGAGCGCTATTTTGACGGCAGATGGCCAGATCGGAATGAGAGATCGGCAAACGTCCGCGACGGAACTTTGTACGGCGTACAGGCCCACTGGTTGCCTGAGCCCAATGGTTTTGGCGCCCAGTCTCCTGGCCCCTTGCTTGCTCCGTTTCCTAGTGAGACTGATTCAGTTGGCTTAAGTGGTTTATGACACGATCTAGGATGCGTGTAGAGGCGCCTTTCCATGTGAGGGATCGGGCATCATAGGATTCTAGGGGAACTTAGCAAAAGATTCGATACTAGTGTCGTTTCTATAGATGATCTCGGGATCTCGTACTTTACCGAGGTCTTCGTTGTCTCCAACGTCTTTGCAGATCAAGTACATTAACACTCGGCCGAACTCAGTTACAGTGGATTTATCTTCGGGTCTATCCACATGGCCTCGCTGTGATCAGGGGGCCCAATTCGATCAGGGAGAATTCTCCATTGAGTTCGGAAGATGGCGATTTGCATATCACTTTGATTTGCAGAGAACTTTTCGATTCCCGATGTCCTCGTCTATAAATATAACAATTGGCTTGTCCTTGTAAAAGATCTCGAGTTGAGGAGAATTCGTGGAGAGTTTCTTTGGTCTGACCAAAGTACACAGCGGGCTAATTTCCATCCGCCTCCATGTATCTCAAGGTGATCTATCGTAGTCTGTTAACGTTGAGAAGAGCAAGATTGACTTCAGATTGGCCGGTTGATCAGAAGTCAATCTATGACTCAAGCGTCCTTCCACGTCGGGCTTAGGCAGATCCATTAACGATAGTTGTACAACTAGCGGCTATGGACGGGGGCAGCTTAGGAATGCGGGCATTCAATGCATGCATAGATGCCCCCATATCCCAGTCATCCCTGCCCAAAAGTCCTCACTTGCCAATCTTCCAAGTTTGACATGCTCTCGAATGCATTAGGCTAATGGGTCTCTACGTGCATAACCCCGTGTTGGAACACGGCTGCGTGAAATACAAAGTCCGACCAAAGCAAAAGTCATACCTTTCCATTCTCTGGGGGCGCTTGAAGCACCTTCTATCTACAGTAAGCTTACCTTTAGATGAAAGGAAAATCTGCTGTCAAAAATGGTATTTTACCCGCAACTTCCGAGGCCAGCTGAAGAAGTCTACACAATTACCGTGCGGCTGCTCAATTTGCCACCGCACTATATGCCTTGCTCCACTAATAACGTTACAGCAAGTGTCGATCCAGGTGCCTGGGCCTCAATTAAATTTATTTAATCAATATCGGAGACGAGGCTCGTGTGGAGCTGTTATTATTGCAATTCCATCTGCCGGGATAACGCATGATAAGCCTCTCACCGAGTTTTCCCAAAGGGGATATTGTGGGTGTTCTTCTGGTAGTATCATTGTAAACGTCAGAGACCTCTCGGAATTACCGAGGTTGTAGTCTGCAAGACAGAAATGATGTGGGCCAGCTAAGCCACACGCAATGACAAAATTCTAGTGATGGAAAACGTTAGAGATATTTATCCAAATACGACGCTTTGAAATCAATGCTTAAGCTTATTGTCATTGGGCGTTCGATTGAGTTTGGACATGTATACGATGTCGGTCCAACTTCTCATGTGGAAAGCTTTCCAGTTGAGGAACTCGATGTACGTGTAACATCAGCTGCTATTCTTTTATCCTTTTAGCCGTGTTTGGTGTTTGTCGAAAATCCAAGCACTGAACTATTGCTAGGAACACACATAAGTTGTGTTCGAGTCAAGGTGTTTGTGGACAGTAGAAGAGAGTGTTGATTAATCCACCTGTTTACGAGAACTACTGTATCAGATTGTCTGATACAATGCAGAAACTGAGGCTCAGGCAGCTTAAAAGGCTACAAGTAGGCCAAGCCCTACGCTAGGCGTTGTGAGGGCGATTTTGGTCCACTGTGGCTAGCTGAAACGCCGCCATACCAGGAAAGTCCAGCCCCATACTTCTGTTTACGTTCAGGGATCACCAACTTGCATTTCCTGGAATTGAGATGCTTCAATGGAACCTGTGGCGCCCGCATGACGCTCGAACAAGATCCACAGTCCCCTTTGAGCAGCTTGCATATTCGCTGTGGACCCGTATGCTTTTGAGTCGTCAAACCGGCTCCCGGCAATAGCTCGATTTCACTCCCCTGCAGCTTGTACATTTCTGGTATCACATGCTTTCAGACAGAACAGTGTACATCGGGGCCCCCGATTGTTGATCGACAAAGTTCAGGATCGGCCAGCGCTTCATTCTTTTTGGAAGCCAAGCCGCCGGTTACTCCCACTGCTTGACACATCACGTCTACTGTAGTGGGGGTACCGATCACGGAAAAACACCCACTCTCATGTGGGAATTGTGTGCATCGGGAGTGCCCAACGTGGTTTGGGAGCGAGAGCGAGGTTCCAGTGGAGCCGCGGTCAGACAGTCTATCGGTGCCAAGGAATTTCTTGGCACGGAGTACGGAGTATACGACACATAGCTCTGTCCCTCGTTTGCCAGGATATTTTGGTGGCAATTCAAAAGTACGTGCAATTGCAGTGTGATAGGCAAGAGAGCGGTAAGAGGGAGCTGAAACATACCTGGTCTACACGTCATGTATCGCAATCCTGCGGGCGTAGCGATATGAAGGGGGGATACAGGCCTAGAATGAGATCTAGTTAACTTACAAGGAGTAAGAATGAAACACACAATACATATAGAATGTGTGGATTCAGTAAGTCCTGGAGAAGTAACTTATAAGTTAGGGCAGAGTCACATGTCCTTTTCAGGCATCACTTTTTAGGCCAAATAGTTGAGTCACAATCCTGCCTGAGGCCCATATATGCCACGTGATTTTGTTTCCGGGATCCTCATGTCTCTTTGTCGATGTTTGCTTGAACAAGATCATCAGATACGATCTCAAACATCCAAAGTCCATCTCCGTGATCATCTTCCCCATCTTACAGTTGGGGGCCCGTGTCTCCACAGACTCCGCTGCATGAGCCATTAGCCGATCGCTCTGAATCCGGGCCATCTATCTCTCGATCGTGTTCCAGCGCATCCCGGTTCTTTCGTCTGGGCCAATCACCACAGATCGAGCTTTCTAGATCTCGACTTCCCCCTGGATTCTTCGTCTCGTCCGTGCATAGTAACAGAGGGATCGCGGGAAGAGATATTACAGGACGGGTGCCACCCCCTTTAGTTCCCGGCACACAATGGACCCCAGTGGTTATCCGGCAGGCTATCCCGTCCCGACGCAGAGCCCGCAACAGACGCCTTTTTATTCTAACGCGGCTCCGTATCAGTCAAAGCCACCGCAGCATTCCTTTGCTATGCCCATGCAGCCTGGAGCTATGATGCCTTCAGGCTTTCCCCAATCCTCCGGTTCGTGGACAAACCTTCCCCCCACCCCCCTCCCACCTCCCTTTTTTCGTCTTCGGTTTGGGTACCTGTCACCTTCCACCTGCTCCAGTCGAGAAAAGGGGCCACTTGCATGAGGCTCAAGATAGAACTGAGCTATTTTTCCCCTCCCCCCTCATGAACTCCTGTGTCACCATCCCAGCCCTCCTTGGTGCCGCTACAGCAGTGTTCCTTGGCATTGTCGGACCTTACTTATCGTTATTTGCCTGCGGTGGTCCTTAGGGAAAAACTTTCTCTTGAAGCCTTCTAAACTGACTCTAATATATCAGCAGCACCTATGGAGAACTTCTCAGCACCCTTCAACCAGACCCCTGTTCCCACCACCATGGGCCAATTCGTCCCCTCTCAAGGCACGTCCGGTCAAAATATGCCATCACAAGTAGCGCAAACCTTTTCTCAAAACATGGCCTCGATTTCGGCGAATAACCTCCTCGGCACCCAGCCCAAACCCCCTTCACAGATGAATTCTCCTCAAAGCGGTGCTTCTCCTGCGGTCCCCGCCCAGGCTCAGGCCCAGGCTCAGGCTCAGGCTCAAGCTCAAGCTCAAGCACAGTTTGCCGCGCGTGAAAAGGCCCGCGTCACTGCACTTCTTGATATCAACTCTGCCCTGCTGCAGGAAGTGGTCAATCTTCAAGCCGCTGGAAAGGCCGGTGCTGCCTCCAACCCAGACCCAAATTCACCCACCACAGAGCAGGTAGTCGATCCATCAAAAGCCGGGCAGAAACCGAGCCCTGAATACATTGAATGCATGCGACGCTTGCAAGCCAACTTGGCCTACCTCGCAACCATCGCTGATCGAGCCAAGAAACCGGGTGGTGTTGCGCCCCAAGCGCCAGCCATCATGACGCCGCCACCCAATCTCCCGAGTATAAATGACCTGTACACCAAGCTCAACGAGCTTTTCTCTCGACCTGGCAAAGCCTCGACGCCACAACGCCTCAGCCCTCAGGGTAATGGGGGGCCCAGCCCTGGCGCTCTGGGCGAGTCTGTTGTCTGAGCAAGCTGTGGAGTATGCGGTCTTCCGCGTGAGAAGACACGCCACATCTATATCGAGCTCCTGATTTGTTCGCTGCGGCAATCGGGAATCATCCGCACCTGTTTTGGGCCACTAACGCAAGTCTTTGTGTGGGAGGCGCCGCCCAGCATCCTCCACCATGCATACTAGCATAACCATGGGCCTCCCACCATGCGTGACATCTGCTGGGAGATATCAGGCGTGTTACCTAAAGATCTTGGGCACATTTTATCTCTATGATTACAGAGCATGGGGTTCTCGTTTCAAACGGGAAGATACCTAGATAGACACTAGGGAAGGAAGGCAAAAAAGGCAGACCTGTACATTAGACTGAATATGACATTATCCAAAAACTAGGCAACAATAGGAAATCGTAGGAATGTCCGACTGCACCTTAGCTGCAAGTTGATGCCATGGGATCACATCGCGTGAGGGCCTCCCGCCAATCAGCGTGCTTCCTTTGCTCTCCGCCTTCGACGTCTAAAGCCTCTTTTGCTTCATTTCATTCATCTTAGTGTGGATGTCTTGTTCTCTGCTAGCTGTGTGCAGAAGGAGCTTGTCAATCGCAAAACCCGCTTTCCCTAAGTTACCTTCCCTTCAGCAAATCACTCCTTTGAGCCCTAAGACTGTCTCCGCCGATCGGTCATCTGCGCCGTCGCATTCCTTTTTATCCCCGCATCGTCCGCATATCCAAAGTCTCCAATTGCTTTTCGTTTCGGTCTCCGCATTGCTAGTTCCAGGGTCCTTTCGGACAGTTTCGTCCTTTGCCAGCCACCTCCGGCCTCGTTTGCGCAACACCTCTGCTACTTGTGCCATGGATGCTCATGGAGATTTGAGTGCAAAGCGAAAGCGCAGCACTGCCTCCAATGCTGCTGAGCGTCCCAACAAGCAGCTTCGACCCGAGGGTGCCATCTTGACCCCCGGCGACGCAACACCCGCCAACGGAACTGTGTACAATGTCGAGGAGGACTTGGATGAAGCGCCTTCACCTGCTGTAGCCCCTGCTCCGGCAGATTCGCCTGAGTGGCAGGCTACTATTGAGAAGGTCGTGAAGAGTGCCGTCTCGATTCACTTCTGTCAGACTTGCTCGTTTGACACGGAGCTCTCCATGTCCAGCCAGGCTACGGGCTTTGTTGTGGATGCAAAGCGTGGGTACATCTTGACCAATCGCCATGTGGTTGGTGCCGGTCCTTTCTGGGGATACTGTATCTTCGATAATCACGAGGAGGTAAGTCGATACGGCCATGGGTTTCATCCAAATATAAATGTTCGTCTACTAACAAAATTGGTCAATTATAGTGCGATGTCAAGCCTGTCTACCGGGACCCCGTTCACGATTTCGGTATTTTGCAGTTCGATCCCGCGAAGATTCGGTACATGGCTCTCACCGAGCTCAAGCTTCAACCTGATGGAGCACGAGTTGGCACGGAAATCCGTGTGGTGGGTAACGATGCCGGAGAAAAGCTGAGCATTCTGTCCGGTGTAATTAGTCGATTGGACCGAAATGCCCCCGAATATGGCGAGGGATACTGTGATTTCAACACGAACTATATTCAGGCCGCAGCTGCAGCTAGTGGTGGTAGTTCTGGAAGTCCAGTCGTCAACATCGATGGCCATGCAGTCGCTTTGCAGGCTGGTGGCAGAGCCGATGGAGCTGCAACGGACTATTTCTTGCCGTTGGATCGCCCGCGTCGCGCACTAGAGTGTATCCAGGAAGGCAAGCCTGTCACTCGTGGTACCATCCAGACCCAGTGGGTCTTGCGGCCTTTCGACGAGTGCCGTCGTCTCGGTCTAACTCCGGAGTGGGAGGCTGCCGTTCGTGCGGCTGCGCCTGCTGAGACAAACATGCTTGCAGCTGAGATCATTTTGCCTGAAGGTCCTGCCGATGGTAAGCTTCTAGAAGGAGATGTGCTTTTGAAGGTCAATGGAGAGCTTCTCACGCAGTTTGTCCGTCTCGACGATATCCTGGACTCGAGCGTTGGTGGTGTGATCAAGCTGCTGGTTCAGAGAGGAGGTCAGGATGTTGAGGTCGAATGCCAAGTGGGCGATCTCCACGAAATCACTCCAGACCGATTCGTGACTGTTGCCGGCGCTACATTCCACAATCTGTCTTACCAGCAGTCCCGCCTTTATGCGATTGCCACTCGCGGAGTCTACGTCTGTGAATCGGCAGGCTCATTTAAACTGGAGAACACTGTGGCTGGATGGATCATCGATTCCATTGACAAGCGACCAATTCGTAATCTCAACGAGTTCGTAGAAGTCATGAAGGGCATTCCTGATCGAACTCGTGTGGTAATCTCTTACCGTCACATTCGTGACCTTCACACAAAAGGAACAAGCATCATTTACGTCGACCGTCACTGGCACCCGAAGATGCGCTTGGCCGTCCGAAATGACGACTCTGGCATCTGGGATTTTTCTGACATCGCCGATCCTATTCCTGCTGAACCCCCTGTCCCCATGGAGGCGAATTTCATCCAGCTGGATGGCATCAGCCAGCCTGCTGCGGCTGAAATCGTGCGTAGCTTCGTGCGCGTGTCTTGTATCATGCCGTTGAAGCTGGATGGATACCCACAGGCGAAGAAGACTGGATTTGGTCTGGTTATTGACGCTGAAAAGGGTCTGGTGGTCGTGTCTCGAGCTATCGTGCCCTATGACCTTTGTGACATCAACATCACCGTGGCCGACTCAATCATTGTCAGTGCCAAGGTGGTCTTCCTCCACCCGCTTCAGAACTATACCATCATTCAATATGACCCCAGCCTCGTAAAGGCTCCAGTCAAGAGCGCTCAGCTCAGCACTAACTACATCAAGCAAGGCCAAGATACTATCTTCGTTGGCTTCAACCAAAACTACCGCATCGTTGTGGCAAAGACCACTGTCACTGACATCACAACTGTCTCGATCCCCGCAAATTCCGCGGCTCCTCGTTACCGCGCCATCAACCTGGATGCCGTCACTGTGGACACCGGACTCAGCGCGCAATGTTCAAATGGTGTGTTGGTCGGTGAAGACGGCGTGGTACAGGCCCTGTGGCTGAACTACCTTGGCGAGCGCTCTGCCAGCTCCCACAAGGATATCGAATACCACCTCGGACTTGCCACGCCATACCTGCTCCCCGTGACTGAGAAGATCCAGAAAGGAGTGACCCCCAAGCTGCGCATCTTGAACATGGAAAGCTACGTCGTGCAGATGAGCCAGGCTCGTATCATGGGTGTCTCCCAGGACTGGATTAACAAGGTCACCGAGGCCAACCCCTCGCGCCACCAGCTCTTCATGGTGCGCAAGGTTGACAGCCCGCCTGCAGCTGTCACACCCGACCCTACCACTAGTTTCCAGGAGGCTGATATCATCCTCACTTTGGACGGTCAGCTTATCACTCGTGTCTCCGAGCTAGATGTCATGTATGAGAAGGATGTCCTAGACGCAGTGGTTGTTCGTAACGGCGAGGAAGTCAGCATCCGCGTCCCGACAGTTCACACTGAGGACATCGAGACGGACCGCGCTCTTGTCTTCTGTGGTGCTGTCCTGCAAAAGCCGCATCACGCTGTTCGCCAGCAGATCTCCAAGGTTCACAGTGAGATCTACGTGAGCGCAAGGGTATGTTTTGACACTCTTTTTCTTCTCCCTTGTAATACACTAACCCTTTTTCAGAGCCGCGGTTCCCCCGCTTACCACTACGGTCTTGCTCCTACCAACTTCCTCACTGCTGTCAACAGTGTCTCGACCCCAGACTTAGACAGCTTCATTCGGGAGGTGCGCAAGATCCCCGATAACGAGTACTTCCGCATTCGCGCCGTCACCTTTGACAACGTTCCATGGGTGGTCACCATGAAGAAGAACGACCACTACGTAAGTTCCCACTTCTACTCCCTTCCTCTGCATATAGAGGAAAAGGACAGATCTTATTCTAACATATCGCTAGTTCCCCATGTCCGAATATGTCAAGGACCCCACCGTCCCAGCCGGTTGGCGCACCATCTCCTACGAGACCCAAATCGGTGTTGCTCCCGATGCAGCCAACCTGAACCCCGAAGCCATGGACGAGGGCGTTGAGGGAGGCAGTGATATCGAGCCTGATATGGAATGAGTATGAAGAGTTGTTGTTTGGGGCAGCTGGAATCTTGTATAATATCACGTCGCAGGCGCTGTCGGGATCGGCTCGGATAGGGGGTACTTCGTTGTTGTTTCTTGCCGTTTTTTTAATATTTATCTCATGGCGTGTTCTACATGGAGCGGCCGAGTACAAAATCACAATCTTGCATATGGGCCCTCTCTTCTTGCTTGAGCTAAATATCGTTTTTGGTGCCTTGTTGTAGTTGTAGTGGCTTTGGGTATTCGGTATTTGGTGTGCTAGCTGTGCTAGCCCCTGGTGTATACTGATGAAAAGGGGTGATACTGAGGTCTACTGCAAACTCTCTCCGTAGGCAATTAATTAAATAGAGGAGCTACGTATCTCCGGTTTATGTTAACCCTATTACAGTAGTCTAGGCACTGCCCACGAAACCCCTTACCTCTCTCACGGATAACCACTAATAACCCCCTAATTCTGACCCTCAACCCGAATGACTGAATAGTCAGGGATATGCACATCAGGATGCATGCCCTGGAGCTCACTCCAAGCATTCTCCAGACAAGGCTGGAAAAGGTTTTCGGCGATCTCGGTAGTCACCGCACTATAAGAAAGTCCAAGTCAGCCCCATGTGATAATTTCTTGGGATAATCGGGAATGAGGCTTAAGTATATCTGCGAGACGTACAGTATCGACATGAAATGTGGTGGCCAGCGGTCTGGGGCGGGGGTGTGCATGGCGTCGATTAGAACTTCTTCTGCGTTGGTTAGGGCTGTTGTTATAGCATCGATGCAGATGCTTTTGCTATTTTGTTGTTGGTAAGTATATGTACTAGGTCTTTTGGGGATGCTTTGAAGTAGAGAAAGGCTTACGTATTTCCTACAGAGCCAAGGGCTGGCTCGAGTTCCATTACCATGATGGTAATTAGCTAGTGGTGTGGATGGTTAGTCTGGGGGATTCGGTGGGTTTATCGAGTACTGGTCCACGTACGAAGACAGTCTGTATGATTTAGCTCGTTTATCTAATTTCCTAGTTTGATGCAACTTACAGGCATTCCGGCAGCTTGGTGTTGATGTGCAGGGTAGGATCTAGATGGAAGAAAGGAACAGTAAGTTGATGGAGGAAATGCAAGAAAGCGAAGAACAAGGGAAGACCCTCTATTTATTACGTGAGGTAGTTCTGAATAGCGAAAAGTCATCTTAATTAGTGGCAATCGATGGTTCTTTATACTTACGTCCATCGGTCATAAAGGTCTCGTTAACAAATGAGCACCTAGGCAGCTCCTTGTTCTCGTGTGATCAATATTATTGGCACAGTATTTCTTCGATAAGTCCATTGACTGGATTCGACTTTATTTTTCACATTGACTATGTTCTTTTGAAATGTTCATTTAGGGAAGTATAGGTAGGTCAAAAGTATATATCCACCAGATCGTACCCATCACCACCACATTAACAACATTGGTAATTTGCCCTAAAATAAACAGCCGAATGCGACAAACCGCAAAAATACAACGAAGCCAGATTGACTTGAATTAAAACAAAAAAGCGTACATCAAGGGAACAAAACAAAAAGGAGCAAAAAGAAATGCTAAAAAAAATGTGCATCATCCGTGAATCGAACACGGGCCTCGTCGATGGCAACGACGAATTCTACCACTAGACCAATGATGCTAGTTCATACATTGTTGGCCACTAAAGTGCTACATAGACAGATACACGGTATGTCCCTAAAATCTTTTTTCTCCCAGCCTTGCTTCACCTACGACTAACCACCCTGTCCCAGCATTATATTATCCACGTAAACCAAAATAGGTCAAATAACAATTCATTAACCCATGCACCAATGGATGCTCCGTATACAGCTGTTGTCCAAGACCATATTGTGTGATAGACTTAAAAAGTACAAACGTACAAGATAACGCCAAGTAGATAATAAGACACCAAACACCGACATAGCTATAGCTATGTCCATTGTCAAACCAACACCAAAGAAGGCCACCACTGTTCAATCGCACAGGCCAATCTACAATCCAAGAAAGAAAGGTTTGTTGTGCCGCGCCGAATTCTAGGTGCTGCTGTTGAAACGCCAGCCGCCGTTGAGTCGCAGACGCTGTCGCTCGGCAAGATCCTTCCGGATTTCCTCCTGGGTAAGTCCATCAGGGCCGGACCAGTTTGCACTGCTGGTACGCTCGCGATATTTCTTGATTTTCTTGTCGCCCTTGAAGTTATCCTCCATGGAGAAAGGTGCAATCGGTCCAAAGATCGAATCAACTTCCATACCATCTTGTTGGCGAAGAAGTCCCTCCAGATGCTTGGGTTGAGCCCAATCGGGCACGGGGAACATCTCAGAGTCAGAGTCGTCTTCGTCCTCGCTGTCGGTGGCAATCTCTGGCAAATGGATGCTCTCACCACTGGGGTACTTGGGAGATGGCTTGGCTGGTGCACGCGGCGCAGATCCAGGGGCGGCTTTGGGCGCGGGTGGCGGCGCATGATTAGGTTCGGCAAATGGGATCTTCCCATTTGTGTACTTGGCCAAGCCCATGGGGTGTGCAGGTCGCTGGGGTTGAGCATTATTGAAGGAAGAACCAGACTGGTGCGACATAGATGACTGTGAATGTCCAAAGATGGAGGGCTTTGGAGAAGGAGAGTTAGTAACATGTGTGTAAAGCATTTGGAACCGGTTATCTCACCTTTCTGATACTTGAGGTACGAACAGGGGGCGGCATGGGAGCTCGCACGGGTTGAATAGGATTATGCTCATCCTCTGTCTTTCTGCGCTTGGATTCGCTGGTCGAGTGCACGTTGGCAGGCTTGGAGACTGCGGGTCTGTGATTGGCCTCTTCGTCCATGCCTCTCTTCAGAGGTTTGGCAGGGTTAGGGGCGGGTGGGTTGATACGGCTGCTATACGGTTGCATAGAGCCCAAGCGAGAGGGAGGTCGAGAAGCACCCAAGTCACCGCGCTGAGAAGACTGAGAAGATGGCTTCTCATGTTGGAGAACCGGAACCTGGAGACCATTAGTGACATGAAGAGATGACACAAACAAATATGCTTACCTCTTTCATCTGCTGGCTGCCATGCCTTTCGTGCTTCCGAGCGTTTTCCATTTGTCGATTTCTAATGGCCTGCATACGGGCGGCTTTCTCCGGATCCTCCTGGGCCGAGGGCTCGCGGCGCTCTCGTTCGGTTTCAGCACGGCTGCGCATATCTTGTCGGCGAGCCTCTTCTTGCTGCTGCTGAGCTCGCTTGCGATCCATCTCACGTTTTTGTTCCTCCTTTCGGCGGTCCTCTTGTTCCTTCCTGCGCTCACTAGCAAGCTGAGCCTTACGCTGGGCTTGAGTTTGACTGGAACCAGTGCTCTTAAAGCTGCTTGCGGAAGAAGCTGTATGTAGGGAATTGTTACTACCCTTCTTCTTAAGGGTGGGCTTTGCGGCAGAGGCGGGGGCAGCTGTCGACACAGTAGAGTCTCGAACGCTTGAAGACGCCATGGGAATCTGACGGGAGAGTGTGCTGCCAACCCGAATTGACATAGGCTGTGGCGGCTTGGGCTTTTGAACAGCCTCACGAGTCGGCTTGAGAGGACGTCGATCATTTTGTTTGGGCTGAGGGATTCCGAATTTGGAGCCGGTATCCTGAGATGATTCAGGTTCCCGAGATTGCTGTCGCTGCGATTGAGAAGCCTTTGGTGCGGCCTTCTCTTCTGGCTCCATCGAGGATTTGTCTTGAGCGGCTTTGAGTCGCAGGGCTCTTAGCTTTTCTTGCTCCCGAGACTTCTCCAGACGGGCCTCTTCCCGCTGTTGTTCCTCCCGCTGTTGTTCTTCCCGTTCCTGTTCCTCCCGTTCCTCACGCTCATGCTGTCGACGCTTCTCTTCTTTCTCGGTAGAGCTTCGCGTTCGGCGACCTTCCTGACGAGGAGGACTGGTAAACTTGGTTGGCTGAGATGCAGTTCGGTCGTTACCATCTGCAATCTCAGCAGTTCGCTTGACACGATGCTGCTCAGGCGACGAGCTTTCCATCCTGGGTGTGTTTCCAGTGCTCGAAAATAGGCCTTTGGCGGATTTCATGATCGACTGCAGTCTCAGTTTCGAAGCACTGATGGGGCCGTCATAGCGCCTGGGAGAGCCTGTCGGAGTGGTAGACATATCAGCAGAAATATGAGACAGAGAAGCGCTCTGTTGGTGGCCAACAGGTCGTGGAGACGAGAATAACGAGGTAGATGATTTGGGTCTTTCTGGCTCTGTTGTGGATTGTTCCTTTTTGCTCGCTGTACGATCTTTATCGAGATCGGAGAGCTTTTCCATGATGTCCATGGTCTTGCTCTTAGAAAGTTCCAGCCGCTGGGGAGAACTCAATGGCTTGATCCACTCATCATCATTCGACTGAGACTCTGGGGCTGGTGCCTCAGTCTTCTGGCTAGAGGCTTCGGGTTTTGCTTCAGACTTGGAGGCTGGAAGTTCGGGATAGGGCACTTGCCCAGTTGCCGCTGCAGAAGCGGATGGAATTGATTTCCGTGGCCGGGCTGGCTGGAGTTTGCCCAGCATGCTGATCCTCTCATGTAGGGTCTGAGTGGACTTTTTGCTGTGCATCCTGGTAGCTTGTTCAGGATCCGGACCATCACTTGATTGTTTATCGTTGTCATTATCCAAAGCCCCGGAATCGGTATTGTTATCCGCAGCAGTTTGGGTCATCCTGTGACCACCAGTCTGTCGGCCAAAGTAGCTAGGGCGTCCGGCAGTGTTCATCTTTGCTGGGTCAACATGGCTTGTCCGAGAGAGACGCGAGCCTCCCAAGGACTTTGATAGCGGTTCCCGCGCAGGGAGCGAGGCGAAGCTCAGGCTACTCTTTCGCACAAGGGGCCTCTCAGGGGTAGAACCATCCGAAGGAGAACCGATATCATCAAGATTATCGAGAACTGTGTCCTCCTTTGTAGTATCCTCCATTGCTTCATCCAATTTTTGAGATTCTTCGGGTTGGATTGTCTTAGCCGCTGGAGCCTTCTCCGGTGAAGACGACGGTTTTGAGACCGGCTCATCGACTTGATTTGGTTCTGGTTCCTTCTCCTGAGACTGTCTCTCTTGCTTGTCCGCAATCTGCACCGTGGTCTGCAATTTGGTGGTTTTAGTCGGAGTTGATGTGATTTCTGCACTAGATTCCTTCAGACGCGGTTCGAGCGGGCGCGTTGTTCGCTTCTGAGTTGGTGTTGGGTCGTTGGGCGGCTCGACAGTCTGCCCTCTGGAGCGGACATTCTCTTGCGCGGAGTGGAAAGATTCTTCTGTATTTTGCTGAGCAAGCGATGTATCAACCTCCTGAGTGTCAGAGACCATAGGCTCGTCCGTCTCCATGGGCTGAGTAGAGGCCTGTGATTCTGGTTGCACGTCAGGCAATACCATTTCGTCATCATCTGACATACCATGATATCCCGAGTCTGTGTTGTATTTAGGGATAGAGTTGAGGTTCTGGCTGAGATCTGGGTACTGTGGTTGCGACACCCGTTCCGTCGCGTTCTTTGTGCGGGGCACAGCCGATGTGGGCGCGGTGGTTTTGGATACCACACGATGAATGAAGGGACTGGGGCTTGCTTGGTACTCTAATTGTTTTTGGGCAGATGAAAAGATCTCGCTCAAGGGCTGCAGAGGCTGCATTAGTGGGCGACCCGGTTTCAAGTCAACAGGTGTGATACTCACCACCCGAGACTCTTCTGGAGCGCGTTTCCGTGCGGTTCGAGGAGTTTTGCCTCTCATCTTTCCGGGGGTCTTGAATACATCCGCAAAGTTTCTAGACTGTCATCAGCATCCAATCGACACAAATCAGCGTGCGGCCACTCACGCTTGACCCTTGGAGAAGATCTCGGTCATATGTTCGTTCAACCAATCCATTTCATGTCGGACTGGATATTCCACCTCTTCCATCTCTTGTTCCACGAGTTCGGCCATATTCTCTTTCTCTGCGGCGATCCATGGTGCCGAGCCCACGGCCTTTTGCGCCCTCGCGCTTGCCGCGGCCATAATGTAAACAATACGCCGTGTCGCTATGTGTCGGGGGAAAAGTGAAGTGCCGAGTCTCAATGTAGTCGAAGGTTGTAGGTGAGTTGTGAGCGCACAACCATCGAGAATGGGGTGGGTTGTGGGTCGCGCCGTGTTGGAATGGAGATGAAGTCTTGAGATCAAAACATACGTCCCAAAGTGGCAAGGCGTGGATCACATAAGCTAAGGCGCCAAGGCACCAACTATCTTATACTTCGATCTCTTATATCCTGCTAATCGCCTCAAGAGACATTTAGTTGTATTTCCCGACTGCCCATATGATGGAGCTTCAATTATTAGTCTCAGAACTGTCCTCATCAAAGCTATCTTCCTCGCCAGACTTATCATCGGAAGCAAAAGAATCGTACCAAGTCCCCTCGTGACCATCATACGCGGAGATCTTGGGATTGAGAAGACTTTCTCTTGAGTCTTATAATTGCACTGAAATTAACTGGAGATTTAATCGAGTCTGTTGTTCTAGAGAAAGCAGAACACCCCGCATGTAGAGAGTCCAAATTTGGGCGAGGCTGAAGCTCCGGGGGCCAACCAAACAGCTTATAAGTGATCTTAAGCAGTGGAGCAAGGAGCAATAACCACTAAGATACTTCCCGGAAGCCTATATCTAAGCTCAGACATCTGTAAGCTATATGAAACTATGTAGGGTGATGGACTTTATCTCTAGCTCTCTTTTCCACGCACGCCATATGTAGATATTCGTCATGGTTACTAGATAGCTCGCAGTAAGCTACTCGGCATCATACGACACGTAGGCACATATTTCGGATAATTATTTTATGGACAAATAATGTCTATTTTGCTTCTATTTCCATCTGCATAGGTAATAATAATGAAATAGCCTTGATCTGCAGACTCGTAAGAACAGGTTCGTCGACATCATAGCTCTGACCCTCTCTCGGCCTTGGCAACGCACATGACAGCATCAAAACAAGTCTCTTATCTCTTTCCCCCCCCTTTTCCTCGCAACACTTGCTTCAACACTTGACACGCCTGCTACGAATCTATTTACTGCAACCTCTGCATTTCTCATATTCGTCATGGCTACTGGTGACGTGAACTACCCCAACACGGGCAGTAAGGTACGCAATCCTGGAAGCGCCGGATCCGAAATCACGTCAATCCCACAGATGCTAACGAGAACCGCAGTATTGCGCTCCTCTTCTGTTCCATACTCGGTGACCGTGGCGCAGACTGACCTTGACCTCTGGGTTCAGGCATCAGCGATGTGGTTACCAGGGGTAAATAGCGACACCGGGACACTGTGGAGGATTACAACCCTAGCAAATTCGTCTAACCGGTTCTTCAATAGGCCCTGTTGTCGATAACCTCAAGTCCGAGGCATCCCGCACCGGTGGAGAACTACGCGATCTGAAAAACTCGCGGGTGACCCCTTCCACCACCACCGCGGATGGTCAACCGCTGACCCGTATGTCATGAGACCGGTCTTATCGGGCAGCCAGATGCTAATTCTGCCTTAGACTACCACTCCTTGCTGTACAGCCTTCTGAGCGTGAGTCTCTAGAGCTCCTCAACCGTGATACCGTTCTAACCGACCCGTCTTTCAGTGGGAACAACCTCGTGCGACCGCCGTTTCCTTCGCCAGCGTGATCGGATTTATCTTTGCCGCCCGTTATCTTCCTCTCCTCCGCTGGGCGTTCAAGATCCTGTACATGTCGCTTGGATGTGAGTTGGTCGCGTGACCCACCATCAGTGGATGATCAGTTGACAATGATGTATAGTGACGGCCACCGTTGAGATTGCCGGCCAAGTCATCCTCAAGAAGGGTATCGCCAGTGGATTCCGCCCCCGCCGTTACTACACCATTCCCAAGGAGACCGTTGAGGCTGTGCTCGAGGACCTGGAGCAGCTTGTGGACTTCTTCCTGATTGAATTCCAGCGCATTCTGTTCGCCGAGAATGTTGTCCACACCGTTGCAGTATGTTCGAAACCACCAGCAACCGATTTGACTTGAAACCTGAAACTGATGAATATAGGCTTTCACTGCTGCTTTCACCGGTTACTGGCTGATCCGCTTCGTTCCCTTCTGGGGCCTCGCTGTGATCGCCGTCACCACCACTTACTTCGCCCCTCTGATCTACATCAGCAACCGCGAGATCATTGATGAGCAGATCAGCAACCTCCAGGAGATTATCAATTCCCAGACCAACCAGCTGAAGGATTTGGCTGGCGAGCGTACTTCCCAGGCCACCGGCTTGATGAAGCAGTACGTTGGCGAGTACAGCTCCAAGGCCCAAGAGTACATCGGCTCCCGCCGCTCCACATCCCCAGAGATGTCCAAGGCCCCCATCAAGTCTGAGCCCATTCCCGAGTCCGTCATTGCCCCTGCTGCCGAGCCTCTGATCAAGCATGAGGACTTCCCCGAGGCCCCAAAGGTCGCACCCGTGGCCCAGACTGTCGAGTCCGTTGAGCCCACAGAGCAGGCTGCTAAGCAGACTGAGCGTGAGCCTCTCCTGGCTGTTTAAATTGGCCTTTCTGTCACGCCAGGTCATCTCTGTGACCACGCATGCCAGCTAGGCTGTTAGACCAGCGACAGCCAAACACTGCTTGGTGTATGAATATTCTTATTCCGTCACTGGTCTAACTGGATATGCCGAATGGCACGCTGGATTGGTTTTTGAGTTATACCTTTGTTCGAATCCTTGGAATACATGCTAAGCTCCGAACGCCACATCCTCGTGTCGACGAACCAAAAATTATGCAGGATTCTTGAGTGATGAGCTTTTCATGCCTCTTGTTTTCTCCTTTTTTTCCTTCATCCCCCTTTCCAACGCATTTTTATCTGTCTATTCTCCTTCTTCGTCCCTTGTCCATGTCTTTTCTCGGGTTCATATTGTTTCTAATGAAATTACATCAACATAAATTCATGATTTCGATGCCCATAGATCCATCAAGATAATCCTGCAATGTACCGGTCCTCGGGCCTCGCGCAGGGCCCTCGCTGACTACCTAGTGATGTATGAGTACGACATCAAGAAACCAGTCTCTCTCAGGAAGAAACGGAGAGCGCGAGGCGCAAGGCCCTCGACCCAAAATCACTTGGGCATTTGTTCACATCTCAAGCGTTCAACAGTAAGTATCGGGAGCGAGGCAGCCGTTGAGTTTCATCCCGGTCCACTCGCTCGGCTTCTTATTCGCTGCATCGCGATTCGGACCGGCCTGTGACGGTTCTGTTGCCTTTCATTCTCCTTCCCCTCAACCTCGAAGACTTGCCCTGTTCAGTCGTGCTCGGAACTGTGTCCTTCCCTGTCACCCCCAGCTACCCCGGATTCGAGGCCTGTAGTACATATCCCGAGTGTTGCCTGATATCGGTGGTTGGTTTGTGTGTTTCCTTGGGTTGATGGTATGGCGTTGGGTCTAGATTGTAGTCTGAGTCCGGCAGTTTGAGGACTGGACCTCTTTGGGATGATATTGTATTCTTTTCTCAGAGCGTGGATCCAGTGTCGAGCATGGAACGTTCGTACTGGTATGATGCCCCTTAATATCCCGTTCTTCAGTATTTGTCGTGCCCGTTATCCCGAGATCTCGACCATATCCTCGAAACTGCTGATAATCGAGTTAGAGAGTGAGTACCCAACCCTTTGATAGAAACGTGAAAGCGGAACCCAAGGACAAGCTGAAAGAGATATCGCCACTAGATGGCTAGATGACGACCAAGACGAAAAGGAAGGATCATTTGAAAAGCCTAAACACCCAACAGCAGCATCCCAATTGAGACATGGCTTCTCGCCCCTTTTCCAGAAGCCCAGGATCTGAGACGCGTCGCAGATGAAGGACACGCACGTCGGGGTTTACCGCTCTTTGGAACCCAATAAGAATGCAACAGACTGTCTTAGACATTGGAAAGTCGACCTCCTTTCTGGACTCTCGGGCTCATCGGTTGGGAAGCATTGCAGACCGACTTCAATGCGATGGAGCCATATTCACGATAACTAGCCCGGTTGCGTTGGCATCTGGTTGAAGCCCTAGCCCTCGAGCTTTTCAGACTATGCCAAAATTGCATAGCGTCCTGTCGGTCACTGTATGCACCGTTATTCTGTCGTGTTCTACATCTGCTGCTTCAGCCCTGGACCGATTGGCGGAGGAGGCCCTTGTACCTGTGTCTACTGCGGACTGCATGGGCTAAGTGGGTACAATAGGATTGCAAAACGGACTGGAAACAAAGCTAGTATGGCCCTATCATATAAACTGACCATGGATGATAGAATAGGGAAGAAAGAGACAAAAAAGTGGGCTCTAACCGCCACCAACGTGTCAGTCTTCTGCAGAGAAGCATGCACAGAAAGTTCTTTGAGTCCTATACCGCCAGAATCTTTATGTCTCTGACCAATGTACTAGACTCGTTCGAGCAGGTGGAAGTGTTTAGGCTCTCAAATATGGTAGTTAACAGGAATATAACCTGCGATGAATCAAAGAATGACCTAGAGAAAGCTACTAATATCAAACTCTTAGATATAGTTAATGGTTTGACAGTCAGTCTTGAGCATCGATTCAAACATCTAGACTTCCTGTACAGCCACTTATCCACTTTAGGAAACAGGCTTGAGATAGAAGCGTGGGGTACACCGAACTATAGAAGCATATGTCACCTTTCTCAGCATCTTTGATCCGGTCAGAAGTATATTTCTGCAACACAGCATCCTTCAGATGCACTTCCCGGCGAAGGACTCGCCAGCAGGCAATGTGAGTTCCCGTTATAGCAAGGAGTATGTTTCCCTGCAGCTTGCCGTGTGGTCTCAGACCTCTTTGATCCCGTTGAGCCATGGGATATGTAGCTCATTGGGTCTTCCCATTGGGCCATTGGTTCGCGATCCTAATCCTCCGGTTACTGCAGCACCCTTGCTTCGGTACTTCTGATGCCAAGTCTGATCTGACATGGGCGCTTCGATATGATTTTCGTACTCTTGTCTGCGAGAGCAAAACGGTAGGACGGTTGAGCTTTACCCCGGGGTATTAGGGCCACAAGGCAAGATCCATGGCATACCTAATCGGTAGCTTTTGTGCAGACTGCCGTAATGGGCTGTTTGCACGCACTGAATGCATCTTTTTCCAAAGAGAATCCAGGATATCCACATGGACCCAATGGTCCCCGAAACGGCTGACTGCCATGCTTCTTTGGCCTCTGTGTGTTTGGGTAGTCAAGTGAAACAGGTAGTGCCTCGAGAGATGAGAGGCATAGGTCTCAGATAATCGTTACCTCTGCCAGCGGTATCAATGAAAATGACACAATGCGCACTGCATTGCGGTCAGTCCAAAGTCGAAGATCATTGGGATGCCTCCCATTGCTCCAGCCACGAAGAGACAAACAGCCCGTGGACTCGTCCAACTTGAGGCCCATGGAGGCAACGTACCGGTGAAGCCACATGCATGAGGGTCAGACACTCTCCCGAGTGCTTTGATTTTCACCGCTGTCTCTCTCCTCGAGCCTGTATATATGCTACAAGCAGCAAACACCTGTACTCACCCCTCAAGCAGTGCGGAACAAACCTTCGAACAAAGGTGAGGGATTGTCTTGCTTTGCTTTGTTGGTCTGTTCAAGCTTGACTCTTTGAGTCTGCTGGAAAACGCCATTTATTTCTGGAGCCTTAATTTGCTCCGCTCCCCTACTTCTGCTTCCTTCCTCCGACAACATCTCTTCTTCTTTCTTGCTTTCCACCCTGTAGCCCTTGATCCTTTCATTCATGATTCCTATCAATTCCCTTTTGAACCACGAGATCGAGCCCGAACGGTCTTACCGTGTCTCTGCCTCGCAGAAGCGGCCGAGGATGGCTAAAGATGCCCCGGTCTTTCGCCCTGGTAAGATCCAGGGCGAGTGTCGCTACCCTCCTCACGAGGACCGTGACGAGGAGCTAGAGAGAGCCCATGAGCAGTTTATGATGAAGCCCATGGGGTCCATTGCCAAGTTCCCTCGTCATATTCCCTATGCCAGTGACAAGAAGTCCTTCCAAGAGAAGACTGGCCGTGATAGCTTTCACGGTACGCACTCACCACATGTATTAATACCAGTTGCTCCTTTTTGCTAACTCACCCAGTCTTTCAATACACGTTCAAGGTCCCCAATGAAGAGAAGGAGTGGCATGTCATGTGGGACTACAACATCGGCATTGTCCGGATCACGCACTTGTTCAAATGCAACGGCTATTCCAAGGCAAGTCAACTCGAATACACCCAATAACTATGGAACTAACTATAATAGACAACCCCGGCCAAGATGCTCAACGTCAACCCAGGTCTCCGCGATATCTGTCACAGCATCACCGGCGGTGCACTCTCCGCTCAAGGTACGATGTACAACTCGCCCACCTTTAGTCGATATACCTGAAAGTAAAATACAACTAACAACTTGTTCCTATTGTATAGGCTATTGGATGCCATTCGACGCCGCGAAAGCCCTAGCAGCAACTTTCTGCTGGAAAATCCGCTATGCCCTAACTCCGCTATTTGGCAACGAATTTCCAGCCATGTGCATCTCCCCGAACGACCGAAAGAACTACGGTCGCATGGTCATCCCACCAGAAATTATTCGGCGCGCCACAGAGACTGCGATGTACTACCGCTCTCTGGAGGTGCGCAACAGCACCGTTCACCCGCTAACGCCCCCAAACCGCCATCTTCCTTCCATGACCCATCACCTCCTCCATGGTCCGGAGAGATTGACCAGAACTCTTGAGACAGATGGTGATGGTGCTCTCAATCTGCGTCTTCCGCCGCCTAAGATTCCTCACCACAATGCGGACAGTGTTGCTAGTGTTGCTAGTGTTGCTGGTGTTAGAAGTGCGAGGGACTCATCTATGGAGCCATTCTGCATGTCGCTTAAGAGCATGTCGCCTTCGAGTTTCACACCTATCAATCATCCACGCACACATGCCGATCCTCACTTGCAACCTAAGACTATTATCGCTACCATTTGCAAGGCGATGCGCCCTGATCATGCCGCCGAGGGTATCAGCGAGGACAGTGATACGGACAGTGTTGGATCATCGAACGTGTATTCCACACCAAACTGCTCCTCGATGGATGGGATCATGGACATCGAAAAGCCCGGAGTTATCGATGGTATACCCTCAGACATGGACACCAGACCGAGCGACTCTGATGATCTCACCTGCTCGGACGAAGAGTGGGCTGAGGATGACGCCAATGATGAAGACTACCGAGGGTCAGCCGTCAAGAGAGAGGGTGTTGCATCCCACAGCACCAAGTCTGCGTCTCGCAGTTCAAGACCGAAGAAGAACCCGAGCCGTAAGACTCGAGCTCTACGTCCTCGGTCGTCGCCCCACTTCGCCCACGAGGTCAAGGCTGCCGAGGCTCTGCTCCATCTGCATAAGAATGAGTTGGAAGCTAGTGAGATTGATCTTGAGATGGAGGATCTCGGCTCGCCTTTTGGCTTCATTTCTCGGAATGGGGCCCATAACCATCGTAAGCGGCGTCGTGCCTCCTATTGATTTCTTTTCTAGAATGGCTTGGAGCTGAGGAATTCTGTGTGGCGGTGATTTCTATGCGTCTTATGATTTGATGCTTTGTTGGATGTCCAAAGTATGTGTGGTCGAGTCGGTCAGGATCGATTCTTTCCGCATCATGTGAATGAGTGTTGAAAAGTTCGGCGGACTCAGTTTTCTTTTGTATGAAGTTTTGAAGAAATATGTCTGAGACTGAAGTATTTGTTTGAATCATGACATGACTGGGTATGGGTAGACTGGACGGCGTTAGGGTGGATGTCAATCGAAATTGTTCTCATTTTATCTTTGTGCTAGCATTCTACACCTTCAGAGGAACTACTCATTTCCTTGCTTCGACTAACCGATTTTCTTGTTACCAGTTCATCTACAAAGCAAGACGACATAAATTAAATAATGTTCACTACTGATACGCTAGCTGGCTCTCCATAAAATATCAACGTAAAATATCAGTGTAACTGAAACAGAACAATGAAAAGAAGGAAAGGAAAGACAAGGCAATGGAGAGCACAACAAGGAAAGAAATAAAAGAGCCCAAAATGTGTATCTGCGGCTGATTGCTCAACGCTTAGTCGCTCTCATCTTCCTCCTCAAAGTCGTCGGCCGATGCCTCCTCATCGCTGTCATCGTCAATGACATAGCTCTTCTTCTGAGTGGTAGCGGTACGACGAGATGGTCGGCTGGCAGCAGCACCACGACGAGGAGCTGGTGCAGGTTCATCGTCATCATCATCCGACGCATTGACATTGAACTTGCCGGCTGGTGAATCCAAGATGTCGTTTGCCATGGCATCAATGTCATCCTCCGAATAGTCGTCCGCGAGCTGCTTCTTAGACTTGGCTTGCTTCGAAGCATAGGCCTTGGCTGCAGGCGACAATGCGGCAGCCTTAGGAGCGGCCTTGGGAGCGGCCTTGGGGGCTGTAGCGGCATCCTTCTTGGGGCGACCACGAGCCTTTGGCGCCGCTGTGGCGGCCGCTGCCTTTGGAGCAGCCTTGGCTTTAGGAGCGGCCTTACCCTTGGCAGTTGGCTTGACCGGCTCCTCGTCCTCGTCGTCCTCATCATCGATATTGTCAACCTTCACATCCTTAGGCTTGACCTGGATAGAACGTCTTGGGGAGTTTTGTGGAATGAGCTTGCTGTAATCGGTCTCATCTGGGTCAAATTCATCATTGGCCTTGGAGAGCCTGGCGGCAGCGGTCCTCTGACTTGCACTGCTCTCAGAACGGGGTCGCTCAGAGAAGAGCTGACGAGAATCCGCACCAGAGTCAGCCCCAATGCCCTTGACCATCTGGCTGACGTCGCCGAGAAGGTCGTCGCCATTGTCACTATCGGAATCGCTGGGCGCCGAGTATTTCACAGGTTTGCGAGCACGGGCAGCGGGCTTGGTTGCCTCGCTCTTGGCAATTTCCAAGAAATCGTCATCCGAGTCCTCATCAACCTTGGGCTTTGGCTTAGGTCCTCGTTTGGCGGCTGGCTTAGCTGCTGGTTTGGCAGCCGCTTTGGGCTTCGGAGCTTCGACCTCGTCAACGTCCATTGGATCATCGGCTGGCTGAGTCGACGCTCTCGAAGCCTGGGGGACATCGTCGATGTCGATGAAATCATCCTCTTCTTTGGGCTGAGACTTGGGCTTCGACGCGGCACGGCTCTTCTTGGGAAGGACCTCCATATCCATATCAAAATCATCATCTGAACCAGCCGCAGCCGATGGGGTTGGCTTAGCTGAGGATTTGTTGAGGAAATTCATCAAGCTATTGGTTTGTGGCTCCTTTTTCTTAGCTGCAGCAGCCTTCTTGGTCTTAGGAGCCCCGAAGTCTTCATCGTCGGGATCATCGCCATTGGCGGCCTTGCGCTTGCGGGCAGTGGCAGCACGGCCACCTCCAGTAGCCAGCTTCGACGAGGCACGACGGCCCAAGCTAGCCATCTTGCGCGCACGGCGGTCCTCATCCTCGAGCTGGAAGCGCCACTCATTGATGAAGTCATCCAGATCATGTCTCCAGATGTCCTCCTTGGACAACTTGATGAGGGCATCGACTTCAGCCTCCCTGTCGCCAATCTGGCGGCGGAGCTTCTCCACGCGCTCCTGGGTCAAAGACCACATGGGCATACCCAAAAGGTAGTCGAAGGAATTAGAGAGCACTTCAACTTCGGCTTCATCCGACTCTTCCTCCTCTCCTTCAACCACTGGCTCATCTTCACCCATCTTGGCGGCCTCGGCCACCTTGGCAATTGGCTTGAAGCCCTTCTCCTTCAGCTCGCTGATCAGAACAGGCTTCTTCTTCTTGGAAATGACCAGTTTACCATCGATGATCTCCTGCACGAAGCGAGCTTGGTTGCTGAGCTTTTCCAGTTCCTTCTGGAGGTCGTTAAGTTGGTATTGCTTGCGCTTCTCGTAGTACTTGAGGCGAATGTGGAAGAATTCTTTGAGAATGTCATCGACGGAGGCATACTTGGTTATGCGACCCTCGGCATCAAAGGCGACAAGGTTGGTCGTGGCAATCGACTTGGTCAATTTGAACTTCTCCTCCAATCCTTCGGACAGAGCGAGCTTCATGTGCTTCTCATCAAGCTGGATCACAAAGTGAACCTTGGTGTGGGTATTGTAGTCCTTGTAATCCTTGATGAAAGACGGCACCTTTTCGGCCTTGATGATGTCCTCGAGCTTGTCCTTGAAATCTTGAGTCCAGGTTCGAATGGGCAATTCGGTGATCTCCACCTCCTTGTCTCCAGATTCTCTGATGATACCACTGAACTTGTAGCGATCGCCACCCATTGCGACGACCTCACCAGTGAAGCCACGGAACCAGGGCTGCATGGGCACGGGGGTCTCGCCATCCATGAGGCGCTTCAAGTTGCTCACAACGTCTTCAGGGTTGTAGTTAGGGATGGTTGAACTCCAACCAGTGCCAATACCATCAGCACCGTTGATCAAGATGAGCGGGACCACAGGCATGAAGACTTCAGGCTCAATCTTCTTACCGTCGTCCTCACCATACACCAGCAAGGGCTCATCCGCGGTATGGAAGATCTTACGAGCAAATGGCGACAAGCGAGTGTAAATGTAACGAGCACTGGCACAATCGCCACCACCCTGAAGTCGACTACCGAAGTTTCCACTAGGCTCCAGGCAATTGACGTTGTTGGAGCCGACAAAAGTCTGAGCAAGACCGACGATTGTCTGCTGGAGGGACACGTCACCGTGGTGGTAGGCTGTCATTCCAGAGACGTGACCTGCCAATTCCACGACCTTCATATCCTTCTTAAGATTGCGACGGAAACAGGTGTACAGCACCTTGCGCTGACCGGGCTTCAAACCATCAACGACAGACGGAATGGAGCGCATGTTGTCCGCCATACTGAACAGAATAAGCTCCTTATTGATGAAGTCGGTGTATGTAATCTTCGACACCGAGTGATCCAAGTATGTGCCAGGCTTGTATTGACGGAGCCACTCTTTACGCTCATCGGCCTTCTTCTTGGAGAAAGCTAGCTCAATAAGTCCGGGCTCATCGGCTTGCATGGTGTGGAACTCCTTCAGATGGCGATCGAGATCGCGGAAGTAGACCTGCGCATCCTCTGTGGTGCTGGTTCCCAGACCCTTGTAGTACTTGTGTTCCCAACCACGTTCGTGTTTGTGATGCTCGTGCCATTCTTCATATTCAGGCATTGTGAAGAAAGATTTCAGTTTGGTAGGGTTCTTCGGGTCACCCTTCCAGACCTTGATAATGGGGGTAATGAACTCGATGAGGAACTCGGGAATCTTCAACAAACTGGGGAATTGCGCCTGAAGGAAGTTGATGAGCAAACCCTTGATGTGACTACCGTCGTGATCCTGATCAGTCATGATCATGAGATGGCCATATCGCAGACCCTTAGTTTCAGTGTACTCCTTCTTGTGCTGCAAACCAATGAAGTTTTTGATGTTCTGGATCTCAGCATTCTTAGAAATCTGGTCGAAAGAAGCATCGCGGACATTAAGCAACTTTCCACGCAGAGGGAAAACACCGAACAAGTCCGGTCCAACAACTGCTCTTCCTGCCATAGCCAGACCCTTGGCAGATTCACCCTCAGTCAAGATCAGTGTGCAGTGGTGGCCTTCCCTAGTACCAGCCTTGTTGGCATCGACCAGCTTGGGGTTGTTCATACGCGAGCGGCGGCCTGTATCACCCTTCTTCAGAATCTGATCGGCCTTTTGTTCCGCAAAGTGCAGGATGTTCGACATGACCTCGGTTTTGAGAACCTTCTTGTAGAAGTCTTCCTCCAGGACACACTTGCTACCAAACTGACTTGTCTTGGTCGTCAATTGTTCCTTGGTCTGTGAGTTGAAGGCTGGGTTGACAATCAGGGCTTTCACGAAGATGAAGATATGGTTCCGAATCTGTGCTGACTTGAGAGTGGCACCTGTCTTGTTTCTCTTCTTCACCTGATCAGCCAGACGATTACAGATCTGGTCCGCGATGTAATTGACGTGAGTTCCACCAGATGTTGTCGCAATGGAGTTGACGAAAGAAACCTGCTGGAATGAACCATCTGATACGGCAAAACCAATCTCCCACCGAGGGTCTGGGCTGCAGGTAATGATCTCTTCCTTCGCAGGAGCGCCCTCGTCGCCACGCTCCTTGCGGATGGCTTTGGTGTACATTTCCATGTACTTGCGGAAGTTGCGAATGGGGATGCGTGTGCCGTTCAATTTGACGGCGACGTTGGCGGTACCTGCCAAATCGTAGACTCGACGCTTGACAAGCGCTTCGAAGTCATCGTCAATACCTTCCATGCCGAATTTCTCAAAGTCGGGCTTGAAGGTGACCTTGGTGTAGTCGTCACCTTTGGCCTCAGTGATCTTTGCCTTGCCCATTTTTGTCATGTTTTGCATCCATGTCTGCTTGTACTTCTTCTTTTGGCGCGAATCTTGGGTCTCAAGTGAGAACTCGGTGGAGAAAACGTTACAAAGCTTGGCACCGTAACCGTTACGACCACCGGTCACCTTCTGT